ACTATGTACCATTATACATGAAGACACTAAGGACTTCTATAACTTGCTCCATTATAATGAGATAGACATCAAAACTGGGATTTGAACCCAAGTATCTCATCCAGGGCCAAATTCTTTACCACCTTCCCATGTGCCATGCCTTGTTTTTAGAACTAATGGTGCGTTTTCCTTTGTTCTGAAAGACAGGGATATCAGAAGTGACCCTTGATCAGCTACAGTTCAAATGCAGATTTGCTGCAATCATTTTGCAATATGGAGTGTGATTTCCTAGTGTCATGGTTTCCCAGATTTTTATTTTATTATAATTTGTAGCAGAAATAAAGTTTTCATCACAACCCAGTAGATATTCCCATAAAACACACTATAGTAAAATCAAAATATCATGTTTAGTCTAATATGTTAACAGCATTTATCCTGTGTTATTCAAATTATTTTATTTCTTTTTAAAAATTCTTGCTACAATCAACCAAACTGCTTCACAATTCATTAATGAGCCATTTCACAATTTGAAAAGTGCTTCTTTAGAGAACATTCCAGGTCTATTCCAACTCTGAGTCAGATTCACTTCACGATGGCTTTCATGAGATAGCTTTAACTATATAAGTGACTTCTTGAACTTATTTCTTACCCTGTGTTGTAGTGAGGATTTTCAAGGGAATAGATTTAATACAGGACACATAATTTATAGGATTATTTTATGATATTCACCCAAAGAGTCAAATGCAGAAGAGTGCAGGAGATTTGTCTACACATTAGAGACTCAAACAATCCAGCTGGAGGCCTAGAGCCCACGACAATGATTCATGCAAGTCTGTATCAAGGATTTGCACTGGGAAGGCCCAAAGTTCAGTGGTGGAAGATAGAAAGTCTGTGCCAGCAGGATGAAGAATCTTTAACAGCAGGCTGATGCAAGAAGCAATGCTCAAGGTAAGGACCAGAGCTCCCCTGAAGAGAACCACAACCATCCTCAGCAACAGTGAGGATCCGAGCTCCTCTGAGGATGAGAATAGCTGAGTTCATATCAGGATAACCAGCATGACAAGCTTCTCCAGGAGAATCAATGGCACAACATTTTCCCCTCCAGTTCTCCTTTTTATGCTGTTGGCAGCAATCCTCAGGTGGGCCATCCATACCCAGAACCACATTGACTCAGTTCATCTGGGTGCTATAAGTTGACCATTAGTTAATCCACCACACCTACTTATTTCTAAAAGTAGGACCTGCAAAATGTATGAGAGCCACTAAAAAGCTTGTGTTTTAACCTAGATTTTCTTCTTACTGTAGTTCACTTATTGATTAATGGGTTTTTGCTCAATCTGTAGAATCTCTGTTTTAGGTAGTATGCACATACTAAAGATTAGAAAAAGTAGACATGCATTCTTATGGTATATTGGGAAGAGGAGTTAATCTGAATGCATACCAAAAGACACTTCCAAATTATGCTAAATTCTGTGTATATGATGTAATGCTTCATGTAACGGCAGGGCCTGGTTAATATAGAGTGGTATTTGCAAATATAACTCTAGCTAAAACTTGAAAAATGAGCAGAATATAACCAGTCAGTGGGCAGTGCTGTGAGGTCAGGCATAAGTCAGACCCATCACAGGCTTCTGAGCCTGGAGGCCACATGAAGTGCTAGTTGGAGAAGAAAGGAAATCTCCAAGATAAGGCTGGAAAAATAAGTAAGGCTAGATCAAGTAGATTGCTATAGACCAGGGAAAAGAGAGGGAGAGGTTTTGAAAACTGGATAATATGATAAGACTCAGGTTAAATAAATAACTACAGCAGAGTAGAGAATTGATTACAGGTTCAAAATGAGGTATGAGAGAGAGGAGGCAGGGAAGGAGGAAAGGAAGGAAAGAGAGAGAGTGAGAGAGAGAGAGAGAGAGTGAGAGAAAAAGAGAGAGAGAGAGATACGCTGTTGCAGCAGTTTGCTGGTGGTCTTTTGTTAGTGATCTTCTTCCTTACTGAGTACATTTTGTGATACATTGCACAGGAACTGTGAACAGACCTGTTAACTTTAGAGCTATCAAATAAGAAATGAGCCATGATATGACGTTCAAAAGAAAAGTTGGAAATACAACATTTTTACAAAGCATTTCCTATGCTTCTGTCTAGTTCCTCAAGACCTTGATTTCTGACATCTTCTATGAGACTCACTCTTTACTGATAGATAATGGAAATAATTGTAAATTAATGGAAATACAACTCTTAGCTTATGTGATAAATTGTTGAGGCACAAAATATTTTAAAAAGTCAGATTCTGGTATGAACCTGAATATTCTAGATAGCACTGAAGTGTATTATGCTTACCTACTTTTATTGAATATAGTCCTTGCAAAAACAATACTTATTTCCTCTCCTGAATGTTAAGAATCTGAGACAGATTTAGATATGATATGCTGAAGGAGAACAACTGTTAATAATCAAACTTGCCTCTATGGTTACAAAAATTTATATTTGTTCTGGCCAAGGGAAACATGTCGCTTCTTACCTCCGCCTCTTCTTTCTTTGATTAATAATCCCCTGCGTGTTGTTGGAACAGTGTTGTTAACTTGTCACAACTGGCACCTTTATCACTTTGTTTTTTGAAGACAAATAGTTCAACCCCAGTCTCAGTAAAATGTTTGCTCATTCAGGCTAATTCCAGTGCAAACACTATCCCCCTTGGTGTTCAGTGAGTAACAGGAGAGGAGGCCTCTGTCTGCCCCACACCTGGGAGCTCATGACGCTGAACCACAGGGAGGAAACCAAATCCACTAGGCAGGCTGACCCAGTCTGAATAGGTTGTTTCTGTTGCTATCTAGTTATGATATAGTTAGCATTCCTTTTTCTTTTAGTACTAAGCCCTTCTTCACTGCGCCATCCATACCCCACCTGCCACCTAGCCCAGAAAGGTCTTGGTCACATTCTATAAACAAATATGCTTTCTCTGATATTAGCTGAGGGCAGCCTAAGGTAGAGCAAGTTCTAGGCATGATTAGCTATTAACTAGTCCCAGGCTGCTTACTGCAAGACTTTGATGAACTTTAATGGACATACCTTGTACTGATACAGTTGGAAGGACTGTGACTATACTGGTGCCGACTAAACTGATAGCAGAGAGAGCCAGGTAGTCACAACATGGAGATAAAGAGTATAATTTTCTAACAGTCAAAAATAAGCACACTTACCTCACATTTTTACAAAGCCCTTCCTATGCTTCTGTCTAGTTGCTCAAGACCTTGATTTCTGACATCTTCTATGACATTTACTCTTTACTGATAAAATTTTGTTTATTGAACAACTAAGTGTTGGAGACTCTTAGTCTCTGTTAGAATGTTACTGCCTCACATTAATGCTTCATGGACTTTCTCACTTTTTATATCTAATTCCCCTCCTCCTTTAGCACCGTGATAACCATAAAGAACATACTGAGTAAGGTTGTCTTATCATTAATACTCTACAGTTATTTTCTAAGTGTAGAATTTGTCAGTGGGTATTGGTAGGCATTCCTAGGTACTCCCCTCAAGCACTTATTTAATTCAAAATAAATGTGATCTCAGTGACCTTATGTGAAAGGAAACATGCAGAAACAATGTTAGTGCTGAGAACTGTATTGTGACTAGAAATCACGCCTCAGCTTTGAGCAAAACAAAATAAATCACTGCAGCAAGAATGCATTTTTATAGGAGGCTCTTTGCCCACAGTGGAGACCAGTTCTATCCTCTGTGCTCATTTCCTCTGCCAACCCCTTGCCCCACGCTCCTTGTACTAAGATGCCCGGGTCTGGTCTCAGGTCCCACTTGAATACCTTCAGTGACACCGAGTCTTCAGAGTCTTAAGTGAGCTCCAGCTGTGGGATTCAGCCCCTGCCTTTTACCCCAAATATGAGCTTCCTCATCACACTCATGGTTCCAGGAAATCCAATTTCCTTTCCCATTCAGAGGAGGTTCTCTTTAATGTCTGTGCTTGAATATGTTCTATTTTTTTCTTTCAGATGTCATTTTACTCCTGGAGAATGCGTTGTCTCTACCATGTGTTAGGATTTGGACCTTGTGCATGTCACTTAAACCATTCTGTGCCTTGATTTACTCCTGTGTGGTGCATTCTGGGAGCCAGATGGGCAAAGGTTTACAGAGTGCTTCAGGGCCTGTCCCTCCAAAGCCACTCAACGGAAATATCAGGAGATGTTAACTTTAGTTCGTAGCTACTATTTCTTACTATCATCCTTTAAAATTTAGCTCAGGTTTCATCTTTGGTGAGATACTTTCCTTACTTTTCCATCCCAAACACAGAGTGAATGAGTTCCTTGTACTGTTCACTTGCTTCTTCATTGTCCCATTTATATCTTTGCCTTCTTATTCATATGGGACATGCTTTGTCACAATACCAGTGGGAAATAAGCTTGCTAGTATGGATAAAGGGACCTGAGTATGGCTTGAAGAGGCTTTGTAACTTGTATTTTATGGGCCACCTGCAACAGTATGCTTAAGATAGGAAAAATAAATGAATAAATGGGGCTTATGTCCTCAGCTTTATGACAGGTGTTAGGAGAGATGAATGCTTAGTATGTGCCAAGCCTAATGAGGAATACTGTATTTATCCTTCACTGTGATCCAATGTGGTAGAGATTCTTCTTATTCCCATTTAGACACAAAGACACTGAGGACTCAGGTCAGAGAGCCAAGGACAGACCACCTACTCCCAGAGAGGAAGCTCTGAGCTGGAGAACAGCTTGCCCTGGTCTGTGCAGTCTCATTTGGCTCTGGGACCCGTTAGTGTATAAATACATTTGATGTTTCCATTTTGTTCATTCTTTTCTTTTCTTTTTTGGTCCTGGGGATTGAACCCAGGACTGTACACTAAGCTGCATCCTTGGCACTTCTTTATTTTTTATTTTGAGACGGAGCCTCACTACATAGTCTAGGCTGGGTGTTAAGTTGAGTGCCTCCTTCCACAGGCTTCCAGACTTCTGGGATTACAGAGACGTCATGTTTCCTTTTCTAATGTCATTCTAGGTATTCCTTCCAAGATGAAGAAGACATGTTCATGGTGGTGGACCTTCTGCTTGGTGGAGACCTGCGTTATCACCTGCAGCAAAATGTTCACTTTGAGGAAGACACAGTAAAGCTCTTCATCTGTGAGCTGGCCATGGCCCTTGACTACCTGCAGAGCCAGTACATCATCCACAGGTCAGTCAGGTCCAGGGAGCTAGCCCAGAACTAAATGGACAGGAGAGACTCCACAACCTGCCTCCTTCAGCACATCCTTGCTGAACATGACATTTAATGCTCATGTAATTCTCGCAGCACTCACCTGAGGTAGGGTGATTGTCCCCATTTTGCAGATTTAAAAAAAAGACAGATCACAGAGATATTCTTTGGGGAGAAAATTTGAGTCTTCTAACATCTTCCTGGCTAATCCTGTTTGTGACCCTGACTAGGTTAGAGAGACTGCTGGAGAGGTGATTTGATGGTGAAGGCACTAACTCATCTGTGAGTTAACCTGTTTCTAAGTGGGCTGATAGGAGCTATTGGGATCTTGCTGGGTGAATGAGTCATGGATGCATGACCTTGGGTGATGTATCTGGTCCCTGGACCCTTCTGCTTTTCTTCTGTCTGTTTTCTGGCTATCATTGATTAGCAGTATTCTTTTGCCATGCCCCTCTATCATGATGTTTCTGCCTTGGAGCCACCTGAACCTGGACTGAAATCTCTGAAAAGGTGAGCCAACGTAAACCTCTCCTCTAATTTATAGGTGTCAAGTATTTTGCTCCAGGAAATGGAAAGTTGGCCAATATAGAGCTACATCAGCCCAAACTCACAGTAAACGGCAGGTCTGGAATTGATGACTACTGGTACTTTTTTATAACAGCCTATGACATAAGAATGTGACTACTAAATGGATGAACTGAAATAAAAATGAAGGAAGCACACGAAGGGAAAGGAATATGATGGGAAGAAAGAAAATTCTTTGAGGAGAAACTTGAGTCTTTCTAGCATCTTCTTGGCATGCTATCATCTATATTAAATAACCCCCAATGAAGCAGGAAAGAAATATGCCTCCTGCACTTAGAACATTTGTGGAAAGAAGACACACAAATGATGTAAGAAGCTACACAGCCGTATGGGCAATAGAGGAAAAGAAATTAGGAGTTTTAATGATTATTTCATATATAGCAATTCATTTCAAAATAACCTGTGATAAATGGTAGAGAATATATAGTTAAATCTCATATTAAATGTGAGAAAACTATGGTTTGTAGACATTAAATTATCACACAAGTTTATTGATAAGCATTGTGAACCTAATCACCATAAAAGCAGCTACTGTTTACCAAGAGTTAAGTGCCATGTACTGCCAGGTACTTCGTATTGTATTAAACCCTCAAACCTCACCAATGACTCCACATTTCATCATAGTTTTCCCATTACACAGATGAAGAAAGTGTGGCTCAAAGATTTTCCAAGAACAAAGCTAATCTTATTAAATCAAATCAACATGGAACTCAGCCACTGTCATCTTTAATCTTTGGAAGAATTTTCTGAGTCTTTACATACAATTATGTCTCATTTAATATAAATGCTGCTAGGTAAAATATTAAGCTACAACCAGTTGATGTTTATCTGTAATGTACCTGGATTGTATCTGTAATGCATTTCCAGGATTAAAATCTAGATCTCTCTGCCCGCAAAGTCAGAGCTTGTCTTGGTTATTTTTCTCTTGTTGCTGAGATAAAAGACCTGTCATCCAGAATTAAGGAAGGAAAGATTTGTTTAGCTCACAGTTTGTGGAGGTTTCAGACCATAGTCAGCTGGCTCCAAGGCAGAGTGGCACATGGCACAGGGCAACTGTTTGTGGTGGCAGAAAACAGCAAAAGCCACAAGAGCAAAAGGGAGGAGTGATGGCAACCAGCCTCTTTCTGTCCCTTACATTGTATGCAAACTATCAGCCCCAGGGTGGGTGTAGCACTGACGTCCACAATCCCAACATTGGACCACGGATCAATCAAAAACTCTAGAAGCCCACCCCATTAATGAATGAGGCTTTGGGAGGACACCCAGACACAAAACCATAAAAGAGCTCTATTATACCAACTGACATTAATTGCACATGTGAAATGTATACATTAATTTTACCTTATTAAATCAAGTCAACATGGAACTGAGCCACTGTCATCTTTAATCTTTGGAAGAATTTACTGAGTCTTTACATACAATTATGTCTCATTTAATATAAATGGTGCTAGGTAAAATATTAAGCTACAACCAATTGATGTTTATCTGTAATGTACCTGGATTTGTTCAGAGCCTGTGGATGAAAATGCAGTATAACAGTGTATAGATTATGCAGGTATGAGGAAACAAGAACTATTTTTTTCTTTTCTTGTTCTTTTTTGTCCTCACCTCTGTAAACTTAAGTAGTTATTTAATTTTCCATCTTTGGAAGAGTCTGTTTGTATTGGAAATGTGCTCTTCAGGTGACAGTTAAGTGAAGAGCAGGCCAGTTCATAATACAAGGTCTCAGAAGTGAATTTACACACCTGGTGTTTTGTCAATAACTAGAAATCCTGTTTTCAAGCACTCTCTCTTTCATACTGGCTTTCAGGTGCTCCACAGTTCTCTCTAAAAGAAACTCCTCATATCTGTAATCCATAGAAACCTTAAAACCTTCATATTTACTCATCCTCCTCAAAATTACCAAACGAGGCCTGTTTTGGTTGCTGACATCACAGACATCAGAAAAAGAGAACTTTGATAAGTCAGCATGGCCTAAGAATGCCTTCTGGCTCTCCTTTATCCATTTTGAATTTATGCCTTCTTCTTTAGGCTGTTTTTCCCTCTGCCATCACAAGGTCAAGATGCGCTGAACGTCTTTGCCTTCTGCTTAGAACCGTATTCTAAGAGGAATTCTGGGAAACAAACAGCAAAAACATTGATGTAGTCTTTACCCTCAAGGAGTTTACTGATACAAACTACTATTTTTCTGTCCTCTTCCTCACTCTTGACTACTTACTTCAACTTTTTGTCACTTAAGTCAGAAATCAAGGATTAACTTCCTGTTCCATAACTATCACTTAGTGTCCATTTTCAGAAGCCACGCTATGAAAATGATTTTTTTCTTGGGACCAGGAATTGAACTTAGGACCTCGTGCTTGCCAGGCAGGTGTCATGCCACTGAGCTATATCCCAGCCCCTTAAAATGTTTTCTTGCGATGGCAAACACTGAATAAACTACCACATTAAATTGAAGTGACATCCTACTGCCATAAAATAAAGACAACAGGTATATTCCTGTTGCCTATAGGCACTGCCCTGCCATGATTATATTTTATAGAGTATTCTAGCATCATGTGTCTCATCTAAGGAATTTTAATATTTCTGTGGTGTAATTACTTCATTCATCTCCTCTAATAAATTATAATCTCCAAGCATTAGGGCCATGTGTGTTTATTTTCCATTGCATTAACAGTAGATAACAAAATATAAAGGAATGGACAGCTGGCCTTAGCCACACAAATGGCCAATTGACTAGAAGCCTAGGCCTCCAAATAATAAGGACAAAAGTCAAAGATTCTGACCTACTAAGGTATATATGTGAGTAATCATATAATATACCATTCAAACCAGGGTACTCCTGAATGCTAAAGAGGGGCCTGCTAATAATAACAGTGGAAAGACAGTCAAAACTCATGAACGCTCTAGGTAATTTAGGACATATATCAACATTGTTAAGGTTTTTCTTGACAGTAGTCCAAATAGACATTTTAATCCCAATAGAGCTCTGTTAATTAGAAATTTTTTACCCTCAAAATACCAGCTATGATGAGTGTAAATATCTCATAACTTCTGTAATATGATAAATTCAAAGTATAAATACTTTAAAGGCAAAAGAAAAGACAGAATATGAAATAGAGAGATAGATCTTTGAAAAATGAGAGGGGCTCCTGGGTTGGAGGGAGCAGGGAAAAGGGATGGAAAAATAAATAAAACAATTGCTGGGGATATAGCTCAGTGGCACAAATTCCTGCTTGGCAAGCACAAGGTCCTAAATTTGATTCCCAGTACCAAAAAAAAAAAAAAAAAAGAAAGAAAAGAAAAATAAATAAATAAATAAACAATTAAGATACATTATGTACGTATATCTTCTCCCTATAATGAATATAAATCATTATGTACTATATACCTACACTAATAAAAAGAACCAAATATCAATTTAATGTGATATCAATTTAAAATGGTTGCAAATGGCTTATAAAAATGTTCATAGTACAATAAGCAGTATCTCTTTAAGAAATTCAAGTGATGGTAACAATAATGAAATTCTTAGACTGAGGCTTTTGTCAGAGTTAAAACTGGAAGAGCAATATAGAAAAGCTGCATATTTGAGTACTATAATTGTCTTTACAGAATCTCTTCTTCATTTGTTACCACAATGTTTACTTATTGAGGGGTAAGCTATTTTTTCAGAGTGTCTTTTGTATAATGAAAACTTCTCAAGAAAAAAGTCTTTCTTTAAAAGAATCAACAAAATTAATGCTCTATTTGACTGTAAGATAACAAAACGTGTTTCAGTTACTTAGAAGACTGCATTGTAGATCAAACCTTGAGTTCCAAGATATTAAATCTGCAAATGAAAAAAAACAATGGGTGAATCACAGAAGATTCCCCAGATGAGGAGAGACAGATGATCTGTATAAAACTGCTAATATAAAGTATAGAAGCTCTTAAATTCAGATTATATTTTGCCTCTGGACCTGTTAGAAGATTCAAAGTTTTCCATAATCTGTCAGCAAATATATGTGGAATGGGAGTAGCAGTAGGCTGCCACGTATTGAGGGCTCCCTGGGTACCAGGGATGCCACTAGGCACTTGTGAATTTTCTCCTTAAATTTTTTTCAACTCCAGGAGGTTGATGGTGTCATTGTCCCCATTTTAGAGTCAATGATTTTTCTGGTTCATAAAAATCAAGTAGCTTACATGAAGCTGCAGGCCAGTAAATAGGTGAGGCCCCACGTTAGGGAAATGTAGATCTCTTAGCCATAATGCACACTCCTGATGTAGAAGGAGTGGCACAGGGATGCATGACCACCTGCTCTCAAGCACCCACAGGCCAGCTGGCCACACAGGCAAAGATGGTTCATGTGGGGGCAACAGGTGACAGAACAGCCTAAAACTAAGTTAAGCTGTAT